TATTTGAGATTCTTCAGAAATCAGAGAGATACCATATCTAGCTCCTGCACCATTTCCCTTGCAGGCCCTGGGATGGGGTTAGAAGAGGATCTGACTGGAGCATGCTGCACTCCAGTAATCCTTGTGTCCCAGAGGTCCCACTAGGTGCATAGATACGCAGTCACTGTAGATTAGAAAACTATAAACCAGATTACCATAGTTATTTTAAGTTGTCCAAACCAAAGCAAATCAACTGTGCAGGCAGAGTGAGAGAAGAATGAGTACTAATATTTTAAATGGGTAGTGCTTTTTAACCTTGGTTTACACTGTTGATATTTTAGTGCCCATTATCTTGTGACTTGCCAATACAAATGCTGCTTCAGGTCTGGTTAATTTATAGTTAATAGTTATGACTCATCAGAATATAAAACTGTCACTGCTCCAGGACTAAATATTGCAAAGTTTGCACCAGAGAACAAAGTCACTTTTGGCTCACAGATGGGGACAAAAATATTTTTTGTGATTGGGTATTTTCACAAACAACATTTTGGCTGTGTGAAAATTACTTCACAGGATTGAGATATTAGTAGGAGTCCTAGTGTAATGATGACATGGATGAGCAGATTTCCTTTGAGAAGATAAAAGATTCATAATAAATTGTTTATTCAGTGGATAGAGAAATAAAAAAGTGTATTCCATCATTATCATGAACTTATATATAGCAAAAAGAAGAATTCCATTCTCCTGCAGTACATACAGTCTAGTAAAGTAAAAGAGGTCTAAATGTTTCTTCCGTCCTTCTTGTAATTGTTCTTGGAGCACTCTTCATAAAGAAAATGTTTGCATAATTTTCATATCTTGCTGATATGAATATCTTTTCCATATGAGTACATTTTCAAGCAGATTAAAAATGCTTAAATGTGTGTTCTAAAGCTCTTTAAAAACCAGTGTTAAATTTTAGCAGATTCTGAAAAGAAGTCTCACAGTAAAATATTCATTACCGAAACAAAATAGGGGGAAAATATTGCTATTTTAATGGCTGTGCCTGCTAAGTACAGAATTCAGGGTTTTGCATTTCTGCTACTAAAGTTGTTGATATCACAGTTAGAAATATCTGTATAGCATTGAGGGGGTGGAACAGAGCACTTTATGAATGGCATTGCATTATTATAAGCAATTGACAGAACAGCTCCCTTTCCCTCTCCCTCCTCTGGATTGCCAATGCCTTTTTTTCTAACATTCGACCCAGTGTATACCCTGTCGGCATCTGACCCTTCTCCTCTGGTGCTTCTGCCTTAGACTCCCAATGTATTTTTTAGCCATTACACTTTTTTTTCTGTTTTGCCACAAAAGTAAGATATACAGTGCCTCTAAGCTAGTTAGACTATAAGCTTAGAGCAAAATGCAGGACAATGTAGCACTTTAAAGACTAACAAGATGGTTTATTAGATGATGAGCTTTCGTGGGCCAGACCCACTTCCTCTGGCCCACGAAAGCTCATCATCTAATAAACCATCTTGTTAGTCTTTAAAGTGCTACATTGTCCTGCATTTTGCTCTAAGCTTATAGTCTAACTAGACAAAATAGACAAAAGGTCAGAGAAAAGAAGTAGTAGTATCCCCATTTTAGAAATGAAGAACTGAGGTACAGTGAGATTAAGCCCTGGTCTGCACTAGGACTTTATTTCAGAATAACCCCTCCTCCCCCCAAGGGTCAAATTTATAAGTGGAGCATCCACACTACCAAGCCCTTTATTTCAAAATAACGGGCCACTTAATTTGAAATCTGTACTCCTGCTTTTCATCAAGAATAATGCTAATTCCAAAATAGTTATTTCAAAATAGTGGTAGTGTGGACACACTGGTGCTGCTATTTCAAAATAATTGGCCTCTGGGGGCCTCTCACAGCTGCAGCTCTGACTGCTCTTGGTACCCGTGGCATCTCCACTGCCCTCCTCCTGCAGAGCTCTAAAAGATCCGGGGGCAGGAGAAGGGCTTCTTGCACAGTGCCGGTTTTGCAAGTTTTGTGAGAGACCAGGACCCAAAGCACAGATGAGTGACCTCAATTCTCCCTTGGACCCTCCAATGGCTGCTAGCACTTCTGTTCTCACAGCTGCCACTGCACAGGGACGCAGCAGAGCTCCGACCTGGACTGGTGCGGAGATCCTGGATCTCATCAAGATCTGGGAGGAGTCGACCAACCTCCAGGATCTCTGCAACAGAAAGCAAACTGTGGACATCTATGTCTGGATCACTTCTAGCCAGGCTGACAAAGGCCACAGCTGAATCCTGGACCAGGTCTGCATGAAAGTGAAGGAGCTGTAGCAGGCCTACCACAAGACCAGGGAGCAGAGCAGATGCTCCAGGACAGCACCGCCCATGTACTGCTACTTTGTGCATCCCATCGTGGAAGAGAGAGCTGGTCACCTCCTTCCATCCCGTTGTTGTAGCGTCTGGCCAGGACACACCTGGTGTCACCCTCTAGGAGGGCGGGATTTCGGATGAGGAGGAGGCAGCCAGATGACCATCTAAAGAGGGTGCAAGTGTAGACATGCCCTCACAGACTTAGGTAATGTCTACTCTAGGAAATTATTTTGAAATTAGTAAATTCAACTTAAGAACTCACGATTTAACAAATTCAAGCTAGCGTGTCCCTACTATGGGGAAGCCTTGAAATTAGTCTGAATTAGTCCAAAATAGCACATTCACATTGAATGGAGCCTGCCTCGGACTTAGAGCCCCCAGAAGCATGGGGAGGAGGGCACCAGGAGAGTGGACTAGCAAGCTGTGATGTGTGCTTATAGGGGCTCCTCTCTACAGCTGTGTCTCACAAGCCACTCCTCCACTGCCTCCCCCCTCGCAGGACACAAAAGGGATGCAGTGGGCCCGTGCTTTCTTGTGCTCTGGTTGCCCTTGGGGAGGCCACAGGACTCACACAATGGAGCCAGAGATGCTGCAAAGCAGTGCCAGGCTCACAGGCCTCATGTCGCGCCTCATGGTGCAATATTCTAACTGCCTGCAGGTTGCTCCAGCAGGAAGAGGATGAGGACCAGCAGCACGATCCCCAGGGTGGACTACAGGCCTTACTCACCCAGGTCCTGGTGCTCTTGCTGCTGGACATGCCCCTCAATCTCCTGAACACCATGGAATGCTGCTTCTGGCAGCAGGAGACAAGTTTGGACTGGTGGGACCGCATCATCCTGCAGGGATGTGACAATCAGCAGTGGCTGCAGAACTTCCATATGACAGGACACCTGCATGAGACCTGCTTTCACCGTGTAGAAGCCATCGCACCGTGAAAGCTCGCCACGGCGGACAGCTACCGTTCTGTTGGGAACCAGCTCGGTGTGGGGAAATCCATAGTTAGGCCAGTGCTCCTGGGGGTAGACAAGGCCAACCACCACATGTAGCTACAGACGGTGATCTCTCTGCGAAACATGGATACCATCATCAATGGCTTGCCGCCTGGGCTTCTCCAGCTGTGGAAGGGGCCATAGACGGCGCCCACATCCCCATCCTAACCCCCAACCACTGTGCATAGGACTTATCCACAGGAAGGAGTACTTCTCCGTGGTGCTGCAGGCCATCATGGCTCATAAGGGATGCTTCACCAACATCAACTTTGGATGGCTGGGAAAGGCACATGATGCCCAAATCTTCCGGAACTCCTGCCTCTTCTGAAAGATGCACGCCGGCACTTTTTCCCCCAATCACATCATCAGAGTTGGGGACATGCCCATAGTAATCCTGGAGATGGAGCCTACCTCTTGATCCCCTGGCTCATGAAGCCCTACATGGGAAGCCTGGACCCCAGCAAGGAGCAGTTCGATGCCAGCGGGGGCAGGTGCCAAATGGTCATGGAATGTGCATTCGGACGTTTAAAGAGGAGGTTCAGGAGTCACCTCACCAATCTGGACCTCAGCAAGTGCAACATTCCCTT